TAAAGGAAAACATATAATTCCAGAAAGCAAACTCTCTGACAAACTCTGACTAAAAATTAAACTGCATAAATTAGCAAGAATTTATACATAAATGGATCTAATAAATTCATAGACATCGTCACTACTTGCCGGAGAAGTGTGTCAACAATGTGTTAACATAATTTCTGTTTCGAATTTCTGTTATTTTCTATACGCTTTTGTGTTAGTTAACAGCAATTAAAGCTTATAAGGAAGTTTATTTCCGTTAAACGGAAAGTAATATTTTATAGATACAATTTATGAGCACATAGTTTTCAGTTAATAAGTGTTAATTAATACTTTATTTATATACTTAATTAACACTTAGTCAGGAAAGTTAAACTGTTAAGATAAAAATTAATACACATTTATAGATATTTGTATTTAATTCAATTATTTTTGAAATTTTATATAGCGACTACAATTTCATCAAAAGTAATTATATTTGAATCAAGATAAACATTTTTTTAATTTTTATTATCTACTAAATATTTAATTGCGCTTAAGAGTTTAAGTTTAAGTGTGCATAGATACTTTTTTGAATTAAATTTGAGAAAGTTGTTTTACAGAACTGCATTAAAAAATCCTGAATTACTGGTATTTGAAAGAGTAATTATATTTGTTCTCATATCATATCACAGTGAATGTATTATAAAAATAAATTATAAGATTTTATCTTATATTAATCTCTATTTAATATATTATTTGAACTTTCAGAACGAATACTTCAGTACGAATTAATTTTAATAAAATTATATTTTTTATTTAAAATAAAATAAATTAATATATGTTAGCATATAAAATAAATAATTGGTAACAAAGCACGTTTAGTATTGTATGTATCTCAATAATATATTATGTTCTTCTTTTGAAAATAACCTTTATTAATAATATTGAATATTGTATTTATATTTGTCAACTCTAATCTGAAATAAATACGTATAGTCGAAACGATTCTTCGTTCTGTATAGTGCAGTCTACGGCTGAACTGTATATTAGTGGAGCATTGGGTAGCAATCCTTTCATTGTGTTAGACATAATGTCTCACTTAATACTGCCATATCTTTTAATCAAACAATCGGTGACATCTACTGCTCGTAGACGTAAAACTACTACACAGTGGAAGGGTAAAGGTGACGACCATAGCTTAACTCAATCCCCTATATATTTTTCTTTGGCTGATTAAGTATAACCTTCAACTCCTTTTATCAATTTTCCGTTTTGATCACCATTGCCTTATAATAGAATTCCTTTCTTAAAATGATAATTTCAGCATCGGAAACTGCAAAAAGTCACGTGTAGCTACAATTATGCCAAGGGAGAGATATACTATATATATTATATAGAATATAGGATAAAAAATATTTTTTATGGAGGATAATACAATGTCAATGGATGTCAATGCAGCTTTAACTAATCCCTACCTTTTGGATACGCCACTACACTACACGCAATCAATCAGATTTATTGCATTTTTTTGCTAGTTTCACAAATTATATATTTCAGATACTTTTCATACACAATGTATTCCAATTTCCTTCTCTTCTTCTTCTTTTTCTTTACTATAGGATTAAATTCTGTTTTGTTGCAACAATTGAATTGGATATATTAATGTAAAATTATGACATATCAAATTATTATGTTTCTGTAGAGCCAGACGTCCAGCATTCACGCCATCTCTTTGGCAGTCAACCGGTTAATCTCGCGATTGTTGGTTTCTCTACCATTGCAATCTTGGTCAGGCGATGATGTTCCATTCTTTTCTAATTTTCAATTTCTTATATTTTATTTTAAATTTTTAGAAAAATTATATTCTTCAAAAAGAAAAACATCTGCTCTTAAAAACGGTATATTTTTTTCCCAGATCAGTTCTAATATATCATATACAATATACCTATATTACCTGTAAAAAATGTCATTTGAGATATTCATATGATTATTTTTTAAATCTATAGAAAATGACCTATTAGAACCATGAACTTCATTGAACTTCAACTTCATTAGAATATATGAGGAAATGAAATGAGTTTATATAGAAATAATTTTAAAATCACGTTGTTGTTAAGATTATCACTTTCTGAAATTGATTTCTAGTAGCTGGAATTATATTTAAATTTAAAATAATTTTTGTTTACTTCAATTTATAGAAGTCAAGACGCCTAACATTAAAATAAACAAAAAATTTTTAAAGCACATTGGAAAAAAGACATAAGATCTGCATTTTATAGTCTGTGTTAACATTTACATTTCACAATGCCAATTTAGTTCGATTTGGTTCGATTAATAAATTATAGCTACTCTATTTGTGGAACGAACTCTCAGCACATCAAAGCATAAAGTAGTTCCATGCAACGGCCCGGAAATCTAGCAAAGAACAGTGAAACTAGAACCGACCGAAAGCGTTGCAGTTACTTTCCGGCCGCTGGCTGATTTGCATTAGCTGCGTTATGCTGCCAATGCCACTACTGCCACTGCTGCTACTACTGCCACTGCTGCCTATTGTGATGTTGATTGAGATACAATACAAACAATGCTGCCACAACACGCAGCATTGAATTCTTGAGATACTCGTACTCGTTCATAGTTGCCTTTCGCCGTGCTTATTTGCATTTCAGTGCAAGTTTATTGAAAAAAAAAAATCTTTTTGCTGTAAAATTAAGAATTTCTATTTTTCTCTGATTTTACAGAATTACAGAATTTCGCAACGCATTCCGTTGCCTGCAATTTTTATATATAATTTTTCTGCTTTTAATAATAAAAAACTTAAATTGAACTCAATTAAAGCGCTAACACTGAAATACAGTCTCTGAAACGGAATTTGTTAGGCTTTTTGATTAAATAATTTAAGTGAATATGAAAATTTATGAGATTTCAGCACTAAAAATTGAACAAAACATCTTTCAGTAAAAGTGGGTTAAAGGGCAACATTTTCATTAAGAGAATTTGTTTCACATTGTGTAGAGGAAGAAATTAAAATTATATTTTATTGCTATTTTTATTTGTGGAATATCATCATCTGCGATGATGCTTTAGCTTTACTCTTCCCGGTGATTTTCCCAAATGGATGAGTTAACTGTGAATACAGTAATTTATGTTAGTTCCGATAATATCGTGTCTTGCATAGATAATGATAGCACTTAAAATTATAAATTTAATTATTCTCTAAAGACCATTTTACATTTACTACTTCTTCATCTCAAGTTACAAGTTTAAAGGAAGAGATGAAATTTGCAACACTACCAATATGTGTACTATTAAATATTGATTTTA